AAATTAAAACAGTTACATATTGGTAAATTCTAGATTCTTTAGTGAGGGAGGATTAGGTGTAATCAGGGTTCCTACACATTTGGAATTCCAAAATTCCATACTTTTCCATACCCTAATTTCCAGACTTCTCTGTGTTTTTTTTTTCCAGAGAATATGCGACATCTGAGTAAATATATCAGTGTATCATATTTCACATCATATTTAATTATTCTTAATAGGTGATTGTTGCCAAGTACCATAATGTAAGTTCAATGTCTGGGCTGAGGCAAAAAGGTTGGGACTATGGGTGCAAGCGATGCAGTAACAAGATGTTGGTGTTTTTTCCTTTCATGTGGCATCGCCTTCTCTTGTCAAATGATTTCACACAAAGCTTGCATCTAGCTCTGTGTGTGAATTGGGAATCCTTGGCCAACCAGTATTTATATACGGTATTGTCAAGCCATCCATCCAGAAATTTGCATCTGCCCATTGTGAACCACGTGAAACTTGTCTTCTTGTCAAAGGTGCAGTGTTGGAGTGAAACTTGATACCTGGGGGACTGGAGGAGGGTCATGGGGCAGCAGACTGAACATACCACTTGTCAATCAGGTAAAAGGGGCAGTATGTTTTCTGAGACGTTTGCTCTCACACAAACTGTGCTTGGCCCGGCATAAAACACAATCCGGATTGATCAAATTTTTTTTGGAAATACTTAATTTTCTATTTTAGAAAACAGTATTTTAGAACAGTGGTAATAGTCTGAAAACATAAATATTTTTCCATACTTTATTTATCATTTTCCATACTTTTAAATACCTGGAAATTGATCAAATTTATTTCCATACTTTTCCATACTTTCCATACTTGCGTAGGAACCCTGTGTAATTTTAAGAACTTTTAACAAGGTAACTGACCTCTCAACACAGACTGGACATAGTGAGCCCCAGGCTTTCTCTGCTACTCCTAAGTACCTCCATGCCTTACTCCTTCAGTGGTAACTGCCAGTGCCGCTACAGAGGACAGTCTACTATTTTTGGCTACTTTAACTATGAAAATATTAATTCAGATTACATATAGATTATACCTACACACTTGAAATTACTTTTCCAATACCTCCAAAAATATTCTTTGAGCCTTTTATCAATTAGCCTGCTTCTTGGACTGAACTTCAGTGTTTTCCAAAAATCAAACCGTAAGGCACCCAAACTGGGCAGCACTCACTGCGGTCAGTCACAGTGATGGCTGATCAAAGACTGATTTACTGCCCTGACATTTGTATTGGCCCTTTGTACACAGACGTGCTGTGAGCCTGCTACATATATGCTCATATATTTGCATACATTTAGTGAACCAAATTGTTTCCACATGTGTGGTATGCAGGATAGCTGTGCTGCCGCTCCTACAATAAACTTGTAAGAAAACAAACTGGCATTCACTCGCTCACTGTGTGTGTGTGTGTGTGTGTGTGTGTGTGTGTGTGTGTGTGTGTGTGTGTGTG